GAGTTGTCTCACCTAGGTTTTCTGCAGCTCAGTGTTCATATACAACTTCTGTATACTGTCATTTGTATTTATAAATATAAATGCCTGTTTCTGAATTTCTTGAAACTAATTACAACTTTGAAAATACAAAAGCGAAGATTTTTTTTACAACAAAATGAAAGCTGTAATTAGTGGTCAGTTCAACATACATTTCATAAGGAATACTTTATTCTTTCTTTAATGATACTTTCATTAACAGTATTGATTAGAATTTTTAATGTATCTATTTTTATTGTTTTTAATTTTTATTATGGTTTTACTGTAGAGTTTATTTTGCATTTTTAGTTTAGTACACGGATTTAGGACTAAATTAAAACTTCTAAGCTGGCTGAATCTTAAGATTTTATTGTTTGCAGCCAAAATATTTTTAAAGTGAGGGTACCTAACTAATACCACCAGTTTTTGTGGGTCATTTTCAAAAGGTACCCTTGGAGAATTATTATTGTAGTAATAAAATCATTAATGTGATTATGGCTTTAGAGAGTAGTCCTCTATGATCATTTTTGTCATGACAATGTAGATAATTTTTGAATATTACATTGGTTACTTAATGTTCATATATTTCAGTAATCAGTGTTTGCCATTAAAACTGTTATTGTGATGTAAAGATGTTAGTGTAGTGAGCATGCCAAATGATTGCTTTAGAGCTTTAAGATGTCTTGTTTTTTGTGACTTAGTCATATATATATAGTTTAATTATTTTTCCATTTCATGCAAAATGGAATTTTGTGTAGTTGCTGTTTACAAATGATAACTGTAGTTAAGTTATGTAGGTAGTGAGATGACAAAGATTACATTGTCACGGTATCAGTATTAACTAAATAATAATTATCGCATCTTGAATGAGTTATGTTTAAATGACTTGATTGTTCCAACTAACATCAAACATACTAATATGTTCTCATGTGATTAGTAAAACTTTGCCATAATTCATTTTGTAATGAATTATAAAAGTCTCCATATAAGAAAAAAACTAATCTGATGAATTTGTTAATTAATGTTGGATTAATGATAGTTCTTCAGAATAAGAATAAACATGTTTGGTTGTTATAATACCAATCAATGTGAGTGTTGAAGAGAAAATGTCTTTATGAAAAAACTCTTATTAGAAACAAGAAGGAATCCTCAATAGTCAAAGCTGTAATTAGATCTCAAGTTGGTCAGGAGATGGAGCTATGAGATAAAAGTTTGTCTTGAAAAAAACTTTGAGCCATACTATGAGCTGCTATGCCATGGCTAAAAATATGTTCAGAAACTCAGTTTGGGCCAAGATATTTCTTTGAGTTTGTCTTCCAGAATATTTGTTTGCAGAAAAGATTAGACTATGTGGAAATCTACTTCTAACATAATTTATTCTGTAAGTGTTCGAATAAATCCCCTTGATGATAGATAAACTTGGGGTAACATGCTAAGTATAATTTTTTTTTGTTTGTTTGTTGGTATCATGAATTTGGACTTTTACTGTTGTACTGCATTTTAGACAAATTCTTTGATGAAAGACTATGCTTAATTGCAGTTGAAATAACACTTATAATTTTATTTAACTTAAGAGTCAAATACAAGACAAAAAAAAAAAAGTGGAAATAGCTACTAGCTAAGAGTTAATATACTTGAGGTGATGTATTTGTTACGGTGACTTGTATATAAATAGATATATATGAAACCAAAATGAAATGTGTATAGTTAACTTTATTGTAAGAATATATGTATGTATGTAATATGTTAAACTTCCTAGGGGTCTATACAAAAATGTGGGATTAAAAAGCCTATTTTTTAGCATTTACTTGTTATTGTATACAGAAAAAAAAGGTTAATAGAATAGATGATATAGAAAATAGGAGGGCATCAAGTCTTTAAAACTTTCTTTATATTGGCTTGAACACGTGCGTAATGCATGCTATACTGCTACGATGTAATATTCATTAATAAGCTCTTGTAATGTGTATTTGGCTTGTCTTTATAGATGAAAGTACAAGTTTCAGTATGCCATAATGAAGGACTGCATAGTGGCAAAGAGCAAGCTTAATTTATTAGATAAATACCTTGTGTTGTTTTGTTTTAAAGTTTTAGTAAACATCCACAAGTATTTTTGTGTGAAGACACAGGTCTGATTCATTGTATTTTTATTTCATTTTTAGGAAAAGGATTAGAAAGTTGAGTGTATCCTAATGAATCTTTAGTAAAATGTATTTAAATAATGTGTATTTTTACACTTATTATGTATATTGAATGAAGAATTTTTCAGATTTAATTGTTGCTTATTATAGATGCCCTTTTTTCATACATGAACTATTATCATGTTTTGTTGTAACATTAATTGATGTTATTCGTCTTTCCTGTTAAAAACAACAATACTATTTATGTGTATATACATAGTTATGTAATCTAAGTAGCTTAGGACTATAATATAAAAGTTTTTGATGTCTTATTTTATACTGTATTGTAATATTATATTGTGTAGAGTAGTCTGTATGTTCCTGGTAGTCTTGTAATATTGTTGTCGTGCATATTCATTAATCTCGTTATGTAGGTCGGGGATTGTCTCACCAGGGTTTTCTGCAGCTCAGTGTTCATATACAACTTCTGATAACTTGTAGATATTTACTAATATTTGGTTTTTAGAGTGGATTTTGCCCGGTCCTGTTTTCTCGGAAGTTATTCAAAACATTTGTTGAAAAATCCACATATGATTAAAGAAGTAAATATTCTGAGAGAGAAATGGGAGATTTCCCCTTATTAGAAAATTATATAGATTAACATAAATAATTCAGGAAAATTTTTATTGTATCCCACTTTCTCTCTTAAAAAGTTTTTATAATTTATTACAAATCAGACAAACAATTAAAGGAACAGTTTAGGGCTGGGTGGTTTAAGTATTAGAAGTAATAAGTTAAATTGTAAACTTAAGGAATGGTTTATATATAACAAAATTCAGTTAACAAGTAAAACAATATTTAATATTCCTTGTGTTGCTGTATCACCTTGAATTTAAGTTGTTGTTGGTTGCTGCTGTAATTAATGACCACATCCTTTTGTACATAACAATGTGTTAATAAAAAAAATTTTAAGTATAAAGTTTACAGATCTAATTTTCTATTATTAAATTTATAAGATATTGCACTGTAGAAAATGTATGAAGAATCGAGAATTTTCATGTCACAATTTCTTAGTTTTAAGGAGACAGTAACCTTGGTGTGATGTTAAATAATGTGAACACTAGTTGATTTCATTAAATAATTCTGTAAATAGTTCAACTATAAAGAAAAGTAGATAAGATTAATGTCCAATTTACTGTTTAAACTAATCATATTTTCATTGTGTAATGAAAATTCATGTGGATATAACATTATTATTGATTTGGTTGTGCTGATGTGGCCCAAAACTTCAGTACCCAACTGACCATGGTATCTTATGTAATCCAGTATGATCAGATATGTTTCATTTTTCAAGGTATACCAAAGTGAACAAAACCCATTTGCTAAATCTGATTATAAAGCAAAATAATTTGAAATTTTTAGTATAAAGATGTCTGTAGAAATAAATTCAACAGACTGCTCTTAAACTTTCCATATATTTTTTTGTATTCTTTGTTTGCTATTTTCTATTGGGCACTGTTCCTCTCAATCACATTGCTGTTTTATAATTGTATTTAGTTTTAACAAAAGCAGTTGTTTACAACTGATGGCGTTTAGAACGATCATAAAGTTGAAAAGTATCTGTGATGTTCACAGTATTTAACACCAAGAATCTCCTTAATTTTACTAAAAATGATCTGGTGATCAGTATGGACTTAAAAAGATTTGAAAATGATCTGGTGATCAGTATGGACTTAAAAAGATTTGAAAATGATCTGGTGATCAGTATGGACTTAAAAACATTTTCCTTCTAGTTAATCTTAATGGAAGATTCATATAAATAATTTATGTATTTTCAACCATAGTTGTAAAAATTTGTTGTTATCGCAAGAAATTAATTTTTTTTTTTTTTGCTGCTTTTATAGTT